ATGTCAAGGGTTCTGATTCCTGAAAACAGTACACTTCTCCATTTATTTAGATATTCTTGTATTTCTCTCACCCAATGTTCTGTGGTTTTCAGTGTACAAGTCTTGCACCTCTTTTACCAGGTTTATTCCTAAGTGTTCCATAAAATTTTAATGCTATTGTAAATGGTATGCTTTTTCAATTTCAACTTCTGACTAGTACACAGAAATACAACCGATTTTCGTATATTGAACTAGCTCACTTATTCTAATCGGTTGTTGTAGATTTCTTAGGATTTTTTTTTTTTTAACGTGAATGATCATGTCATCTGTGAAGAAAGACAGTTTTACTTCTTTTTCAGTCTGAATGTCTTTTCTTTCTTTTTCTTGTTTTACTGCACCGAATAGGACTTCCAATACGATGTTAAGAGAAGTAGGGGGAATGGAGAAAAATCTAGTCCCTGTAATTTATGTTCAAAAGCAGAAGCCTCTCTTTATGTTTTAAAGTTTATATTGCACACTTAGGACTTTAAAATACCTGGAATTCAGTTATCAACATGAAATAGGCATCTAAAATGACCTATACCTATGTGGACAGCCAACTGTCCCAGCATTATTTCCCCACCCACTTTGTCATTTACCAAGTTCCTATATGTACACGCTTTAATGTCTCAACTCTCCGGTCTGTACCCTGAATCAATATCAATACCAAGATCTTGCTGAGAGATCTTATCTCATGATTTTATCTTTTTTTTTTTTTTTTTTTGAGATAGAGTCTGGCTCTGTTGCCCTGGCTAGAGTACTGTGGTGTCAGCCTAGCTCACAGCAACCTCAAACTCCTGGGCTCAAGCGATCCTACTGCCTCAGCCTCCCGAGTAGCTGGGACTACAGGCATGCGCCACCATGCCCAGCTAATTTTTTCTATATATATATATTTTTAGTTGTCCAGATAATTTCTTTCTATTTTTAGTAGAGATGCGGTCTCGCTCTTGCTCAGGCTGGTCTCGAACTCCTGACCTCAGGTGATCCACCCGCCTCGGCCTCCCAGAGTGCTAGGATTACAGGCGTGAGCCACCGCGCCCAGCCTTATCTCATGATTTTAAATAACTATATGCACTAACAATTCCCAAATTTCTGTCTCCACCCAGATTTCTCTTCTCCCCTAAATTCAATCTTCCATCTCCAGCTGTCTTCCTTGGTTTGTAGAATGGATATTTCAAAATTTAAATGTATTAAAAAATCAAACCACTAATCCTCAGCAACTGCTAACCTGCTCCTCCTGCAGCCTTCCCTTTCTCAGTAAGGAACTCCGTTCTCCCAGGTGCTCAAGGCAAACACTGTCGAGTCATCCCTGACTCCTCTCCTCTTATTCCTCACATCTAAGCCGTCGGAAAATCCTGACCATTCCATCTTCAAAATGTAGAAACAAATTCAACCACTTAACTACCATCTTTATTGCCACTATCCTGACACAAGCCAATTACCATCTCTCACCTGGATTATGCCTCTTAGATGCTGTCCCTTCTTCCTTGCCCTCCTACCGTCTATTCTGTAGACCAGAGCAATCAGTTTTTACAACATAAGCCAGATCATGTCACTGCTGCATTTTTAACCTCCTGCATCTTCCCATTTCACATGGACATAAGCTTCATGAAAACAGAGACTTGCCTGTTTGGGTTTTTTCCCTCACTGCTCTAGATATCTCATCTCTGGAATAGTACCTGGCACATAAGCACTCCATAAATACTTGCTGAATCAATAAATGTTTTAATTCCCACAGATTCATATTAATCTTCCTGTCCAGCAAAGCAAACTGCTTCACTTCTCTTCCCCTTTAAAATTCTCAGCCTTTGACTCTTCTGTAAAAATCTACAATCAGCTAAGTCAAGTTCTATGGAAACTGAGAATTCTGGCTGAAACTGCTCTGAATTTATAAATTAATTTGGGAAGAACTGTTAGCTTTTCAATGTTGAGTTTTTCCCCTCCAAAGACATGTATGTAAGCTCTCCATTTTTTAGGTCTTCTTTTCTGTCCTTCAGTTGTGTTTATAATTTCCTTTGCAAAAAACTAAGTATCTTTTATCAAATATGTTCCTACTTACTTTGTTTTTACTATTACCATAAACATTACACCTTTTTAAAAATTACATGTTCTATTAATAACTGTCACAATTAAATCATCAAGCTCTTTTTCTATTGCTTCGTTCCTCCTTAACTTTAAACATGCTTAAAATTCTCTTGCCTAAAAAAACCTCCACTTGACCATGGAGTCATCCCTTCTGTTCTTAAATCATGTTTCCTCAGCTTCTTTGTTTTCTACTCAATCCCTAACCCCTAACCTGGCTTTTGCCCAAGTACCCAGCGGAAACTGAAACTACTCTGTCAAAATGACCCCTGGGCATGCAGTCACTGAATTCCCAGCTTTTTCTCAGTGTTTATCTTCTTCAATCTAAATTGCACAGGACACTTATAACATTTTTCCTCTTCTTTTGCCTTCCATGGAACTTGTATTTTTCTCACTTCTCCTAGGTATTCTCCTTCTCCATCCCCCACTTTCTCCTCTAACTTTTATTTCAGGAAGAACCTGTATCTGTCTCAGGGATACAGGGAAAGCAGATTTTGAGTGAGCTCTTGAAGTAAAACTAGGGTTTACCAGATGGACATGCCAGAAAAGGGCCCTTCTGGCAGAGAGAAGAGCATATGCAAGGTGAGGACAGCATGGTGTCCAGGGAGCCTCAGTCCCGCCAGAGAGCTGCACTGTCCAATACAGCAGGCGCTAATCACATGTAGCTGTTCAGTACCTGAAATGTGGCTGGTCCACATTGAGATGTTAAGTGTAAAATACACACCGGATTTCAAAGACTTCGTACCAAAACAGGAATGTAAGACCCCACTGATAATTTTTTTTTCTGATTACATGTTGAAATGGTATTTTGGATACATCGCTTTAAATAAAATACATTATTAAAATTAATTTCACCAGTTTCTTTTTACTTTTTTTAATGTGGCTACCAGAAAACTTAAAATAGTATGTGTGACTCCCATTACATTTCTATTAGACAGTCAAAGTGTAATCACACAGGCCAAAGAGGAATTCTTTAATAAATTTTCTTTCTCCTTTCTACTCCAATTGCTGCCTCTAAAGTTCAGGTCCTAATCACCTCTCACCTAAGACCATTTCAATCCCTATTGGTCCCTCCCTATTTGTCATGGGCCTGTCACAATCTATCCTAATATACTAACCTTCCCAAGGCACCTCATCCCTCCACCGTTCACTTATCTGAGTTCCTGCGGCTTTCCAAATTAAGGGGTAAAATAGCCTGGCATTTCAAGGCTTTCCACTAGGTAAGTCTAACATGCATTTTAGGATGCCCTAGTACCGCTCCCTATTACCTTCCCTTGGATGTGTCAAACTGGGGGTGTCACCTACACTTGACTTACATTTTTCACCTTAATGACTTTTTTCATAATCTTCCCTCTGCCTGGAATATCCTTTCCCAAATTCCTGCTTATCACAATCTTACTAAATAATAATGGTATTGTGTTTATATTAAAAAGAAAAAGTACATGGAGGAGGGCTTCTGCTAGAGATATATTAGTATTTAGAGATGAAATTTCTTTAAAATCCTACTCAAGGCCACATGTGGCCCTCCAGATCCCCAAGTGTGGCCCCTCGACTGAATCCAAACTTCTCAGAACAAATCCCTTTATTAAAAGGATTTGTTCTGTAAAATTTGGATTCAGTCAAAAGGCCGCACCTATGGATCCAGAAGGCCACAGGTTCCCCACGCCTAACTGCTATTCCTTCAAAAACCTATTTTTAATCACTCCAGACCTTTAGCAAATATGCGATCTTCCCAAGGTGTTACATGCTATGCATAACTCTAGGTGCTGGGTAAACCAGATGGTAAAATACCAGCCCTGCCCTTAGGCATTCAGTCTCACGGGCTATGTTGTGGCTATGAAAGCCAACAACACCGTGGAGTGTGGTTTAGGTTCTGATGGAGGTAAACACAGGGTCCTGTGGAACTACTGACAAGTCCTAATCCAGGCTGGCAGCAGGAAGCATCCTAAAAAGTGATATGGAAAGGCCCTGCTGCACTGCTCCTGTTTTAAATACCCAAGATACCTTTTGCAGCTTCTCTTCTGGTTACCCAATTCTGTCTTCAAAACTGTCATGTATGTACAGTCAATTCTCATTATTTGAAGATTCCATATTTGCAAGTTTGACTATTGCCTAAAATTATTTGTAAACCCCAAATCAATACTTGCTGCAATTTCTTGGTCATTCACAAATGTGCCCAGGGTGCTAAAAACTTTGAGTTGTCCAACGCTCACTTTCCCAGCTGAAGTAGAACAAGGTAATACCCAGACCTCCTGTTGCATACTGTAAACAAGAGTCCTTGCCACAGGTCTATTTAGTGTCACATTTTCCACATTTCTGTGCTTTTCTTGGTAATTTTGCTGTTTAAAATGGTACCCAGGTATAGTGCTGAAGTGCTACCCAGTGTTCCTAAGTGCCAGAAGCTCATGATGTGCCTTACAGAGAAAATACATGCTACATAAGCTTCACTCAGGCATGAGTTATGGTACTGGTGGCCATGAGTTCAACGGTAATCAATCAACAATATACATTAAATAAGGTGTTTTTAAATAGAAACACTAATAAAACAAGGTTACCATTGACCAACTGATGAAAATATTGCGATCAGAGGTTCCCAGGAACCTAATCCTGTATTTCCTCTAGGAGCAATGGTTCAGTGTTCCCTAAGTCAATGTTGCCAGCAACTATATAGACCATAGCTACTGCAAATAACAAGAACCAACTGTACTCATCTTTCTCTTGAGGGTAGGATCTATCCTAGTTATACTTTTTTCTTTTGTGTGAATGCCTTCGCTTCAAAATTAAACAGAGACCATACATTTTAACAAAGGCTCAATACTATAAAAACCCAATTTTATATACTGTTGACTTCATTTTAAAACTTCAAAATGACCACCCATGGTTTTCACCAACATGCTTACCATTTTTGTTCTTCAGATTAGGGTCTGCTCCACTTTTTAGAAGCTTTAAGGCACACTGTTTATGGGCCCGGTAAGCTGCACAATGCAAGGGTGTATTTCCTAACTGATCCGAACAGTTAACATCAGGAGGATTGGGCCTGTTGAGCTAACAATTAAAGAAATGCAATACAGAATTATATACCAAAGACAGACTTTCTCCCATAATCCTCAAGAAAGTGTATCAGCAGAGCCTGAAGGATGCCAGGCTCCACAGCATCTAGACATCAGTGGCTTCTAGCTCACTAAGCCAGCCAACCCGCTATGCCCGTGCTAATTCTCAGGTGCCACATGACCTCAGGCCTGTGTCCAGGCCCCACACTCCTCTGACAACAAACACCACCCTCTGCCCCAGCACCACCCCCTGCCCCAGCACCACCCCATCCACCCTGGACATTAAGATTTCACAAGATAATCAACAATACATTAGGGTATACTTTAAAATAACTGAAAGAGTGGAATTGAAATGTTCCTAACACAAAGAAATGGTAAATATCTGAGGTGATGGATACCACAATTACCCTGATTTGATTAATTCACATTGTATGTCTGTATCAAAACATCACATGAGGCCGGGCGCGGTGGCTCACGCCTGTAATCCTAGCTCTCTGGGAGGCCAAGGCGGGCGGATCGTTTTGAGCTCAGGAGTTCGAGCCCAGCCTGAGCAAGAGCGAGACCCCATCTCTACCAAAAAATGGAAAGAAATTACTTGGACAGCTAAAAATATATGTAGAAAAAATTAGCCGGGCATGGTGGCTCGTGCCTGTGGTCCCAGCTACTCGGGAGGCTGAGACAGTAGGATTGCTTGAGCCCAGGAGTTTGAGGTTGCTGTGAGCTAGGCTGACGCCACGGCACTCGCCCCAGGCAAGAGAGTGAGACTGTCTCAAAAAAAAAAAAAAATCACATGTACCCTTTAAAGATATGCAACTATTACACACCCATAATAATCAAAAATTAAGAATTTTTATAAAAAAAGATTTCACAAAGACTTGCTTGCTCCTACCAGCCTTGCCATTCATACTTGTGACAGCAAAATTACAAATCAGTCTACCACAGGCAGTCCTGCAGATTTAAAACCATGAAAGTTAAAATGTGTAAATGTCAAAGTTCTACTGAATCTGTTGTTCCGAACTTACTGCTTTAGAAGTTTTTCTTTATTTCCAACAGCATTTCCAGAAGCAGAGAGAAGCTTCTTTATATAGTTTCCATTTCACAAAATTTAAAGTGTTTTAGGCACTATACTTAGAAACCAAAGAAGCCTTTTCAAATGAGCTGAAATAACTTTAAAGCAAATGGCAAAGCTTCAGTCATGAATTCAGAACAAATTTAGAGTCTCATGTTTAACGAGACTGTGTAGGAATAAAAACTGGAAAGTAGGTCTCCTAAGGGGAAAAAAGTGGGCAAGGCTTTTAGTCTGCTCTAATGTGATATAAATATTCCAAAATACTGTCCCTTTCTTGCATGTTACTTTCTAGAAGCATAGCATTATTCTCAGAAATTACTGCTGACCAAAACTGGAACTTATTCCTTTATAGGGTCCTATATAGTATATTTCAATTTTAAATTGGCTTAATCTGAAAAAAAGTTTAAAACTTGTCCTTACATTAGCTATTTACCATGAAAAATCAGATTCTTATCCATTAGGCTTTATGGAGGAGAAAGGGGTGGGGATATGAATTAGAAATTCAGAAAGAACATCACTTTTAAAATGTGTCCTGCTTAAACTATTACCATTCTAAGTGTTTTTAGGTATTTAAGGACTTCCGTTCTACTATTATGATCTCTGGAGTTTTTGGTCCCACACTTTGACTAAATTATGATCTTAAAATTAAGTAAAAATTTCCCTGAAGTGTAAAATAAAGAAATTATGCTTTTTGGTTTTTTGGGGGTTTTTGTTTTACCAGAGCTGTGAGTTCTGTTGTTTTTCCTTCTCTTGTGGCTGCTAAAAGTAATTCTTCAAGCTTTCTTTGTTGAGTCCTTTCGACAGCTGCAAAAGGAAAGCACATATCACTCTACTGCTAGTCAGGATCTGATTAGCAAATTCGTTACTGAAACATACAAGGAATAAAGTGATCATGGTGAGAAAAATCAAAATGTTTTAAACTGTAATTCAAATGCAGGTAAAGTTTATTGTTATTCTCATTGCCTTTACATTTCGGATTACAGAGTTGAATTTCTTTCAGGTGTGGATGAATTTATGTTTTCAATTCAGAGGCCTTTAAGATTTTACTCAGTACAATACCCATCACAAATAATTATGGATTATTTTTATATACTGAAATACTATTACATATCTGCCTTAGAAAGGTAGATAAATGGGGTTCATACCTTGCAAAACCTTAGAATGTGAAAAGAAGCCATAAGAAATAGCATTGGAAGATGTACAAGCATATAAGTATATGTAGCCATATAAGTATATCAATTTACTTATGTATTTCCACATATTTATTTTTATTTAATGAATACTATAGTGCTTAATATGTGCCAAAAGCTATTCAAAGCACTTTAAAAATATTAACTGATTAAATTTTCCTAACTTCTCTGAGGTAGTTGTTACTGTAAAATCATCCTGATTTTCACAAAGCAACTGAGGCACCCAGAGGTTAAGGGATTTAACCAAGGTTGCACACGAGAAGCGGAGGAGCTGGGATTTGAACATGAGCAGGCCAGTTCCAGGGTCCATGCTCTTTCCACTACACTTCGCAAATCATACTTGCAGGCAAAGAGCAACTGGCAACTTGATTTGTGTAAGAGACTGGAATAGGAAAATAAAGTCTTATTTCTGCTTGATTTGAATCCTGTTTTGGCTTATAGAGAGGAAGTAATTTCATAGGAAGGCCTAGTAATCCCACTTGACATATTCACACAATGTCTTGTGGAACTATAAAAGGTTTTTCAGGTCTTACATTAAAGTCATGGACAGAGAAGCAGGTTGGGGAGCCAGGTGACTGAGGAAACAGGTGAACATTGATCAGTAGTAATTACTCTGTGCTAAGTGAAGTTTGAGACTCTGTGCCCCTACTGCATTCAAACTACAGGGAACACATATATCGAATTCAGGAATAACTGGGACTAGTTTATCTTTGTCTTAAGAAATGACTAATGTTACTATATGCCATCATCTTTTTTTCCACATCTTTATTTCCACACCCAGACTCTCTCTCCACCTCAGGAGGCGACCTAGCCTCTATGTAGACTCTCCATGGCTGCTTCTCTTGCTGGGATTCACTATCTTCAATCTCCCCTCTCACTGGTTCTACAGCCACTGGACTATGAGCTCTTTGAGAATAGTGATGTCTCTATCCCTCCTGTATATATGTCTACAGCTGCATGTATTACCCCAAGCTGTAATTTAACTCCTCAGTCATTCGTGAAGTCAGGTACCTGTTCTTATCCTCCTGTATATCATAGACATTTATGACAGTGTAGCACAATGCACTGAAGGAAGACTGCTGATCCTGCCAATGAAAAGCAAATATTCTAGTCTGGGGTGGTGAAGCTTCCACAGTGCTAGTAATGGTCTGTTTCTTTTTGGTGCTATTTACACGGATGTGTTCTATTTGTGAAAACAGTGAGCTGTATATTAACAACGTATGTACTTTTCTGTATATATTTTATATCTCAATAAATGTTTTTAAAGCAAATATTATAAATCCAAAAAATCATTTGTCCTGTGAAATTTAAATTTAATATCACTCTAAACTAACTCTTTCCTTTCAATCAGAATCGAGTTAGTAGGGATCTCAGAGGTCATGAATCTACCTCTGGCCTGGTAGACATATATACATGCACAGAGTAGGTTAAATAGTAGTACACTTGAAATGCAAGAGAGAACCTGGAAAATATGCTTCATTAGTGATATATAAAATGTATATTGTATAATATCATATTATGTTAAATTTCCTGAAATTAATCATTATATTGTGATTATATAAGAAAATAATCCTTGTTCTTACGAGATACATACTGAAGATACATACCGATATATACTTTAGGGGTAAAGTATCACTATGTCTGCAAATTACTCTCAAATAGTTCAACAAAAACAATTAAAAGTAAGTAAATAATATCAAGTAATATATAAAATTTAAACCAGATGTTTCAAAACGTTAATAATTGGTGAATATAAGTGAAGGACATATGAGTGTTTACTGTATTATTCTTTCCTGAAACTTTCCTATAAGTTAGAAATTTTTCAAAATAAAAAGATAAATGAGCTATAGAGAAAGAATGTCTTCCTCTCTAGTGCCTGACAAGTGGTAGTCTACCCTCTCACCGAATACCTCTCATCATGGGAAATTCACTGCATCTTTAAAGGCAACCCAAGTCAGTATTTCAATATACTGAACACAGAAATAAACTCCCTGGTACTCGGTCAACTGAGCCATCATCTGGACCTGGTTCTGTTACAAATAAGATCATCCCTCCTCCCACATAACAGCTCTTCCAGTATTTGAGTATGATTTTATTGTGCCTATGTATGTCTTTCTTTCTGGGGTAAAACATTTCCTGTCTCTCTGTGCCTTATGTTACAACATGGTTTCTGGACTACCTACATTCTTGGTGAGTTACTTGATGAACCCTGTAGTCTGCCAGTGACCCATTTAATGCTCTATTCACAAGTGACATTATATGTGGCTAAGGTGATCTCATTAGAACAGAATCACTCAATTAAGTCTCTACTTCTATTTCCCAGGCTAGGTCCACGGCAGTTGACAGATCATATTACCCACAAAGTCAACTAAGCCCTTGTCCTTGTGCAGTTTGGGTTTTCAAAGGGCTCTAGAGCATGTCTTTACAATTGCCCTTATTAAATGTCAACTTGTCAGACTAACCTAACATTCCAGTCTGTCAGGAAAGCCTCAGTCTGGGTTCTTAACTAGGTATAATTAAAATGATAGGACAGGATCAAAGACAGTACCTCTTCCTCCCAATTAGATCACGACTTATTAAAGGGCAGGAATCACATCTAATATGTTCTACATGTGCCCAAATCACATAATGCAGTGTCTGATAGAAGCTGTTATGTGTTGATTTGGCTCTTCATTGACAATGAGAGGGTTCACAAATGCAGGAGCAAGTTAAGATGTCTGACAAGTAGATACTATTTTGTAACTAGAGAACAAGTGAGAAGATTTTAGTTTTCAGAGCCAATTGGAAAGTAAACAAAAAAAAAAGGTAGGATTTTGGTTTTTATATAGATAAAAAGACTAAAAATTAAGAAGCCAACATCTTTTAAATACAAAATTATATTGCCCTTCTCTGAATTTCAAAGGAAGGAAACAGGGTATGCGTGAAACTGCTACTCTAATTCAGTATCTTTATTCACAAAGCAGAAATTAAGGATCTTCTCTTACCTAAATTAGATATACCACTGAATAATTACAGCAAAGCCCCGGGTATTCAGAGAATGACCCTATTGCACGAGGGTTTTCCAATGTAAAGATTGAAATGTTTTTGTTTTAAACTATTTTAGAGAAATTCCTCCAAGTTATTGCAGACTCATATGTCTTCTTAAATGTAATTTAATCTTCAATGTTCACAACAGTGAGCTGATCCATCAGGAAATTACTGTTGCCTGCTACACTACAATGAAGTCCTCAAGAAAACGAGCCAGCCAGAGCTATCGTCCTCAGTAGCTATCACTCCTATAGTTCCTCTATCCCATACTTCTGTATTCCTGCATTATCATGCTTTCTCAGCTTATCAGCCACAATCTCTCAAGTCTCTGATTTCCTACTTTTAATTTTGTTGAGTATTTGAACAATAGATTATTATAACTTGCCACAACTTTGTATAAATTAAGAGTTTTAAAGCTGTAATAAAGAAATTTTTGTATAGATAATTTTGTGTCTAATGAATGACTCCCAAGTGACATTATCATTAGACCATAGGCTTGCTAACTTCTGTTTGGTTTAATAATATCTCGGAAGCCATTTTTACTCATATTCTGGACTTTGGCTATAACTAAAGTAAATGCCATTTGTGTTAAGATCCATAATATTTACCTTCAAGCATGTTTCTGATTTCTTTGTCATGAGTGACTTCTTTTGCTGTCTGTCCACTCCCATTAACAACAGTAGTATCGGCATTGCATTCTAAAAGAAGCATTACCAACTCCTAAAAAATACAGAGAAATTATTTTCAGCTATTATTAAGCTAAGACTTTATTGTATTACAGCCTTTTTCCAAGTTATTAATTACTATAGAGTTTCCACAACAGAAAACAAGTACTATGTAAGAATCTTTATATCACATCAGTCATGTCTACAGTAAGTGATGCAACTAACTGTGATAATATTTGACAATTGCCAATCCACACTTAATACAGCCAACTTCTATAATTCATTTTTAAAGTAAATTATCTGGTTGTTTTACAGAAATAACTCACGTGGTCAAACTAAATGAATAAGTAAACAAAGTCATTACTTAAATCACAGCAGGAAGTACATTCACTTAACATCATTCCTCTAAGTTCTGTTGAGAAATATAATGTCCCCAACAGACCTAGATTTTTAAAAATTTTGATGTTTACAGAAAATATAGCATTATTTTCTAAAGTGATATAGACTGATAGAATATAACACTATCAAAGGAATGGTTTATAATGAAGTATTATACTTAAACTTTATATAAGCATCTGCTGAAGTAAGTATTCAACAATGGAGAATAAACTATATCATTTATATTTCCTCTAAGTGGTTAACTGTTCTTTTGCAGATTTCAAAATTGGCAATGTACATGAGTCCAGTATCACTGGGTCAGTTACACAACTTAACAGAACAGCAGAAATGGAGAAGAGGGAGGCAGACAGTATTATAAATTTGGTATTTGATTATCCTGGGATGTACAGCTCTCAGGAAGGGGATGACGGCTTACACTTGCTCTTCAGGCCTACACAAAGGGAGGCTGAAATACACTACTGTTCTAACTTCTAGACTGATGTACCTACAAAATATGAAGTGATATCCTGGTCACTACATGTTATGTTGTCCTAGGAGTTTCACTGCTCTTTTGGGCATTCTTTTAAATATTTCCTGCATTCTTTTAAAATATTTTTCATAGTTAAAAATGCATAAATAAAATCTAAAAACCACAAACAGGAAAAAGAAAACAATATACTCATTATTCTAGTCACTATACAACCACCATAAACACTTCGGTGTATTTCTTTCTAATCATTTTTCCTAAGTTTGAGATTTTTTAAAATATAATTTTATGTATATGCCATTTACATGTCTTTCACCTAATATATATTTTCCAGTATATTACAGTGTTTACAAACACAGTTTTCTTAGGTGAATATTATTCTATAAAACGTATTTTAAAAATAGGGAAATGGTTTTTAAATATCTAACATTTTAATAAAATGGATTCTTATGAAATATCTTAACATTTCCTATTTTTTTTAAAGGTAACATTTTGGGAGAAGTATTTTCATACTTTACATAAATAGTTCATATTGGTGAAGAAAGTAGAATAACCCACAGAATGATTAAAAAAATGTAAATCATATATCTGATAAGAGACTTGTATCCAGAATATACAAAGAGCTTTTACAACTCAACAATAAAAAGAGAACCCAATTTAAAAATGGACAAACATAACAATAAACAATCCACAAGGTAAGAAAACAATCATATCTACGATTGCATCAAAAATGCTTAGAAATAAACTTAACTATGGAGGCAAAAGACTTGTACACTAAAACCACAAAATACTGCTGAAAGAAATTAAAGAAAGCACAAATAAATGAGAAAACATCCCATGATCATGGATGGAAAGATAGTATTGTTAAGAGAACGCTACCCTAAAGCAATCTACGGATTCCATTCAATCCCTATCAAATCCCAATGATGCTTTTTACAGAAACAAAATCTTATCCTAAAATTCATATGGAATTTTAAGGGACCCCAAGTAACCAAAACAGTATTTAAAAAGAAGAACAAATATGGAAACTCACCCATCCTGATTTCAAAACTTAACTACAAAGCTACAGTAACCAAAACAATGTGGTACTGGCATAAAGATAGACATACAGACCAATAGAACAGAGTCCCCAGAAATAAACCCTTGTATACATGGTCAAATGATTTTTGACAAGGGCGCCCAGACTATTCAATGGGGAAAGAAGTTTTTCCAAAAAAAATGATGCTGAGAAACTGGATATCCACATACAAGAGAATGAAGTTGGACCAGTACCTTATACCACATATAAAAATTAACTCAATATGGATCAAAGAACTAACATTATTAAAACTATTAGAAGAAAACACAGCAAGAAAGCTTCATGAGATTGGATTTAGCAATGATTTCTTGGATATGACATCAAAAGCACAGGCAAAAAAATAAGAAGGAAATTGGACTTCCCTAAAATTTAAAAACTTTTGTACATCAAAGGGCACTATCAAAAGAATGAAAGGGGCCAGGCACAGTGGTTCACACCTGTAATCCCAGCACTTCAGGAGGCCTGAGGTGAGAGGATTGCTTGAGGCCAGGAGTTTGAGAACAACTTGCGCAAGAGTGAGACCCCCGTCTCTACGAAAAATAGAAAAATTAGCTGGGCATGGTGGTGCACACCTGTAGTCCCAGCTAGCTGGGGAGGCTGAGGCAGGAGGATGGCTTGAGCCCAGGAGTTTGAGGTTGCAGTGAGCTACAATAACGCCACTGCACTCTACCCTGGGCAACAGACCAAGACCCTGTCTCAAAAAACAAAAAACAAAAAAACAAAAACAGAGAATGAAAGGAAACCCAAAGAATGAGAAAAAACATCTGCAGATCATATATATAAGGGATTTATATACAGAATATATAAAGAACTCCCGAAACTCAGTAACAAACCAAACTATATTAAAAAATGAACAAAGGACTTGAATGGACATTTCACCAAAGAAGATCTACAAATAACCAGTAAGTATATGAAGAGATGCTCAACATTAATCATTAGAAAAATGCAAATCAACACTAAATGAGATAACCATTTCACAACCACCAGGATGCCTAAAATTAAAAAGGCAGACAAGTGTTGGTGAGGATGAGGAGAAACTGGAACCTTCATGCAATGCTAGTGGGAATGTGAAATGGTATGGGTGCTTTGGAAGACAATTTGGCAGTTCTGCAAAATGCTGAACATAGAGTTACCATATGACCCAGCCATTCCACTCCAAGGTGTACACCCAGAAATATAAAAACGTATGTCCACACAAAAGCTTGTACATGAGTGTTCAGAGGAGTGTTATTCCTAACTACCACTCGGCACACTCAAGGGATGTTATTTCTCAACCTATCTAATACTTCATCTAGTGGTTTTATACCATTTTTGCAACTGCTCAGAGTTCTAGTAATTAATTTCCCTGATATGAGCTTCAAGAAAGCGATCGAAACTAGTCTGGAACCTGATGGATATAAATCCCAAAAGGGCTGTAGGGAATGAGCAGAGGAAATAGTATGTGCAAAGGTACAGAGAGGTACCTTAGTTGAGGAAAAAATATATACTTTAATAACATGAAAACAGGGTACAGGAGGAGAAAAGAGCAGTGCAGAATGGGAAGTAAGAGTTGTTACATGCAATCTTAGGGAGCTTGAGTTCTCCTAAAGGTGTTGGTACCTCACTGAAAGGTTTCAGAGGAACGATACCATACCTGCAAGTTAGAAAGGTCACCTGACCACCGTGTGAAGATGATTTAGAGCAGAGGTTCTCGAAGTGTAACCCGCATTCCTGCAGCATCTGCATCACCCCTGAACTTGGCAGAAATGCAAGTTCTTGGGCCCCACCTCAGACTCATTGAATTAGAAACTCCCGGGCTGGAGCCCAGCAATCCGTGCTTTAAGAAGCTCTCAGGCAGGAGAAATAGCATCAAAAAAGGTTGTTATTCATCGAAGCAGAATTAGAAACTCAGAAGGCACCTCAAGAGACCAGCGGTTGGGTTTCTACCCCGAGAGCTTCAATGAAACACCCAAAAGAGATAGGTCACTGCCTACTCTTAATATCTCAGTGGATAGAAGGTTTAATTTTCTTCAAGGGTCTGTTGCAGCATCACTATTCTTATGTTTTAAAAATTAAAGTTTTCTTTAAGCTTAATTGTGCCTCCTTGTGCCCAAATTAAAGACCACCCTGCTTTCTTCACTACTTTTTACAGATACCAGACAGTTAGTTGTCATCTTTCTCATTGTCCCTCGAGATCTGGAATCCTTCATCTAGTCCTAAGCAGTCCCTGGTGCTCTAAGAAAGTCCAACTCCATTCTCTTTTCCCTCACAGGGTACTCCTTTCATCAACTGAATGGACTGTTCTCTTCTGAATCTTCCAGTGTATTCACATTTTTTATTAATTATTCACTTAACATACTAAAGTACTGAACAGTGTGCAAGGCCCTACAGAGAACGCATTCTTAGATGATGAACACTGAAGGGACCTAAGGAAGGGAAAACTCTCACAAAACTGAAGCTGAGATTAGGATGCTGATGGGAGCACCTGTAGAGGACAAAGTGAGATTAGGAAAGGTCAGAGAAACAACCTAAGAACAGAGCAGTCCAGGTGCAATGCAATGGACATGTTCTTGAGCGGAGATGGTACAAAGGAGGACGTACAGGGAAAACTGTTTCAAAGAGAAACTCAGTACTGTCGAGGGAGCAGTGTTGGAGGAAGGTGAGTCCCGTCTCAGGGACATGAACTTTCAGACACCTGAGGGGCTGCTAAGGGGGCCCAACAAGCAGATGGACAGAGGACCTGGGTGCCTGGAGAAAAGGATGGGGAGAAATTACAGATTTCCAAATAACCCCTCAGGAAGAAAAAATAAAGCCATAAGAGCAGACTGGTTTGTTGAAGGGAAAGTTTCAAGGAAAAAAGAGAAGAAAGGTTTAAAAAAAAAAAAAAAATCAGAGGAACATGTATAATGAAGGGTAAGGGAAAAAAAACAGAAAGGAATCATAAAAGCAGCCTGAGAGATGAACTGTACAGTGCCTCCTCCCACAGAAGTGATCATTTTTGCTAGAGTGTAGCCATAAAAACAAGAAAATAAACTCTTAAACCACTGAGGACCTTTTGAAAAAATTCAGTTAACTGGTACAGCCAAGATCTAGACTACAAAAGGTCAAAATAATAAAGGGCTATGGAAGTTGG